TGTGTGTGTTTGCGTGTATGTTGTATGAGAATGAGAGAGAGAGAGTGAGAGGGGGGGTTCCAAAACGTCCACGAACCCATTCACTAAAAAAAAGAAAAAAAAAAAACTTTTATTCTTCACCTTCTTCATTCACATTTTTACAAATATACACCCACGTAGACACCAGTTCATTTAATCCACATCCAGCAATGTTCAATGAGCAAAAAAGCATGAAAGAAAATCCTGTTTTTTACGAACTGAACGCATATAACTTCTTAACGATTTGACGTTGATATGTTAATAAACTTTATATATAAAGTTATTATTGAATAGATAAAGATATAAATCAGTTAATCCTGTTTATGATGTTGATATTGGTAACACTGATAACAACGATTGTCAAGTAGCATAATGATAAGATACGATATCAGAAAAAACAACAATGAAAAACACAAATTAGTAAATCTTAAAAAAAAAAATTAAAAAAAAAATCAAAACTAAAAAGAATAAAAATAAAAAAACATAAAAAAAAACACGTGATGGAGACTACCTCGAAAGTGTTATCGTCTCGTGATCCTTGTTTTTACTCCCCCCCCCCCACCAAGGACGCGGGAGACAGGATCGAGAAGTCATGAAGGAGAGAGAGAGAAGAAAAAAAAAATATATATATATATACATAATCTCCTTTCTGCTTAACCTGAGTCAAGGAGTTCCTCGTGGTGCTTCTGACATCCTTGCCTGACGAGTTCGGAGGCCGTTTTATTATTGTAAAGGATATGCGTTTGTATTTGTATGCGTGTTTAAGCTACTGATGTATTACTCTTGTTTTTATGTTGGTGGATTCTTGGCGCTTTGCGTTCTTCACTTTTTTTTCGTAATCTCATTGTCCTAACGAAAGTAATGGTATGTTTTTTCTCTTTTTTTAGGAAATATATCCATGTGTGTATACTATATATTTTGCATAGAGCTTTAAATGATATCTTGCTTATAAGACATCATACACCATCCATATTCGAGAATTATGTCCGTGTATAAACTCTAAGGGTTAGTAACGCCAGATTTCGAGGGGTCGGTTATTATCGTGAACACCTATTGATTGTGCAAAATTAAGCAATCATCTCTAACAATTTGGCAACTTGCAAAACATGAACATAAAGAGTAGAAAATACGAAACAACAGAAAGAAAAGACAAAACATACATAAATAAATTGAAAATAAATCAAATAGATAAACAGAAAATAAAGAAAACGAAAGAGGTGACGAGAAAAATAAAATATATGAGGAAAAAAACAACAGGAAAAGAGAGACCAAGGTATTCAGTTTATACGCCACAGTCCCCTGCCTGAATTATGACCCTCAGGATTTTTGCAACTTGCAATTGCAGAATATGTGGAGAAGAGAAGCTAAAAGTAGAAAATAAAGAAAACAATTTAGAAAAAAAAATAAACGAAAAAATTAAGAGGAAAAACCATAAAAGAAAAAAAATAACATCAGGAACAAAAACAGAAAAAGAAGAAATGACAAAAATGAAATAATAATAATAATAATAATAACGAAAGAAATAAAGAAGGAAACCAAAAAAGAATTTAAAAAAAACAGAAAAAAAACGAAAATATTCACTGCACCCCCAAGTCTCCCATTCGAATTTCCCGCATGTGTGAACATGCTTATATCTCCAATAAGAGAATAAGCAGAAGAAAGGGAGGAGAAGGAGAAGGTGATGATAAAACCGAACGAATTCCCTGCCTCCCTGCCTTCCCAGACCCCCGGCGCCGCAGTTTGAATTTGGCGGGCCAGGTGACGCGTGCGGGCGACCTTGTCCGGGCGGGATGGGCGCGGCGGCGGCGGCGGCGGCGCTCGGCCTGCGGTTCGTGACTGCTCGGCAACGATGATTGCAGGGCAATGATAATTTTTTTTCTTTTTTTGAGTGGAGGGAGGTTGTGTTATTGTTTGTGAGTTTGTTGTTTTTTGACTAACGTGTGTGTATACATTCATACATACATGCACACACACACACACATATATATGTGTGTGTGTGTGTGTATATATATATATATATATATATATATATATATATATATATATATATATATATATATATATATTTATATAAATATGAGTGTGTGTGTGTGTGTGTGTGTGTGTGTGTGTGTGTGTGTGTGTGTGTGTGTATGTATGTATGTATATATATATATATATATATATATATATATATATATATATATATATATGTACATATATATATGTAACTATGTGTGTATATATATACACATGTATATGATTGTGTGTGTTTATATTTGTGAATGTGTTTCTGTGCGTGTACGTCAGTGTGTATGTGCTTCCGTGTGCTTCCAAAGCCTCAGCCTCCCCACGCAGAGAGAGCCCGCGCTGCACCTTCCCCTCCGAGAGCCACTCCTTATCTGAAGTCCTGAGCACTTGACTTGCCTCGCCTCCCTGTCTTCAAGCCGGCGGGCGCAGGGTGTGAAAGTCGTTGTTTCCCTTTTTTAAAATATGTTAATGAAGCGAAATTGAATTCATTGATTGATAGAGTCTAGATGATTGAAGTTGAAGCATAAATATAACACGGAATAAAGTCACAGATTGTTTTGTATTTTGTATTTTTACGGACGAGTAAACATTTCCGAAAGATGATACCCCTATTTCCATTAAATAATAATTATAAAAAAAAATCTAACTAAACTTTACGACTGGATCGTTAAAAAAATCTAACTAAACTTTACGACTGGATCGTTAAAAAAATCCATCGATGAGTTGTAACAAATTAAGCGGAGGTCATGGAAGAGGCGACAAATTCTCTAAGCAAGTTTCTTACTAAAAAAAAAAAAAAGAGAGAGAAAAAAAAGAAGTCGAGAGAAGCGCAGAACGTTCAAGGTGAAGCGAAGTGTCCTCCGGCCATTCAAAAGGGTTCATTCACACAGTGTTTTCGTCGACAGTTTCTGAGAGTAAAAGTTTATGAGTGAGATGGTGAGGTGGAAAAAAAAGAAAAGGGGGGAGGGGAATGTTAAAAAGAAAATTGGAAGAAAGGTAAGTGGACAGGGAGACTTAAATTAAAAGGGGGGGTGTGAGTTTTGGAAAAAGTTTTACCGCAGTTTGTTTTGTATATATGTATACAGTATTTGCATGACATATGTATATAGTATACACAAACACACACACACACACACACACATAATCAAAGAGACTGATAGACAGACCAATAGATAGATCAATAGATAGATCGATAGATACAGAGACAAAAACAGATGTAGACACAGACAAAGACACAGATAAAAAAGAGTAGATATAGAGAGAAAAATAATAAAACAGGCCAACAGATGAATACAGACTTGCATACATGTGTACATGCACCTACCTGCTTAAACCTCTCTTGCGTTTCTGATCCAAATATAGCCAAGACCGGGCGTTGTTGTCATTACTGTAAACAAGGTCGCCAGTTCCTCATCTGCTAAAGTTAGAAACCTTAACTCTTATGCTAAATAAATTTGTTGTTTATTGTTTGAAAAATACGGAGATTTCTTTCATTTTGCTTGAAAACATAAGGGAGAGAGGGAAGGAAGAAGAGAAAGAGAGAGAGGGAAGGAAGAAGAGAAAGAGAGAGAGGAAAGGAAAAGGGAAAAGAGAGAGAAGGAAGGAAAGAGAGAAAGAGAGAGAGGGAAGGAAGGGGAGAAAGAGAAAGAGAGTGAGAGAGAAATATTATTATTATTGTTATTATTATTACTATTATTATTATTATTATCATGATCATTATCATTATTATCGTCATCATCATTACTATTATTCTAATATCATCACTAATGATAATAATAACGATGATCATGATAACGATAGTGGTATCAGCAAGAACGATAGTAATAATGACAATCATAATAACAATAATCATAATAATAACATCAACATAATTGATCGTAATAATGATACAGATAATAATGACTATAATAATCATATTCTATATATATCACTTACCGTCTTTACTAATTTTATCTTTCCCACACTCACTAACTCTCTCGTATAACCTAAAGGCTCAACTATGTACTAAGCAATAATATAGCAGATAATTATCTTCATTATTAGTGTTGTTATTACGTGTCCCAAGTTGAATTATTCTGTTACAATGGAAAGGGAAACAGACACAATAAGAAACGAAAATAAATCGTACCGTTTCGAATTATCCACGAATTGTATTCGTTTGTATTTGTTATTACAATGGATTGCGTTCGTAAGGGTTGGGTACTTCGATGCACTGTGAATAGTGATCTAAAACAAGAACATTTTGTTATTTATGTCGTAGATCAGATATGTGTATATATATGCATGCGTAAACTTGTGTGTGTTTGTGCGCATGCACGCGCACAGACACACACGCACGCACATGCACACGCACACGCATGCACACACACATACGCGCGCACGCACACACACACACACACACACACATGTGTGTGTGTGTGTATGCATGTATGTATACACATATATATACAAACATATATATTCTAATGAATACATTTAGTTTTTTTTCCTTGACTACTTAATTCGTCGTATATTTCTTTAACTAACAAAGAAAAGGGTAGATTTGCTACTTTTTTGCACTTTCATATTCAGTCAGCCAATCTCTGAAAGGATGGGAGAGTGAAAGCTTTTACCTGTAAAAACTCCTGGATAATTTCGTCATTTTTTATCCATGGAAAAAAAGACAAACTAATTTAACAAGTGTCTGTCTGAGCTGCTATTGCTACTCTAAAATTAAAAGACTCACCAACAGAAACCATTTTGTAATCTTTTTGCGAGAAATTTCCCTTTTACTAACACCAGTTGGTCAATATTTCGTGTTACGTAACTCTACTAACAGCTCCATTCCCATTTATCATTCTCAAAAAAAAAAAAAAAAAAAAAAAATCACATTAATACTATCCAATCCTCTATTCCCCCCCACATACCTATCAAGTAGAACCGAAACCCTTTATCCTATAGCGCCATAACGATGTTCTTTTGTCACCCTACAGATAACCAAAGCGAGACGGAGGAACACCAGAACGCAGTACCTACTCGTGTCCACTATTTGGGTTTCAACGTGACGCTTCATCACAGAGAGAGGGTCACGAGATCGACGCTAAGGCTTTATGCTCTCATCACAAGGGACCAGTACGCATATATAGGTGAGTTGGGGGGGCTGGGGAAGAGGCGGGAGGGATAGGTGGGAAAGGAAGGGGGAGAAAGGAGGTGGAGAAAAGGAGGGGGAGGAAGAGGGAGGGAAAGGGGGAGAGGGAGAGAAAGAGGTAGGTAGGAGAGAGGGAAAGGGAATGAGATAGAGGGAGAGAAAGAGATAGGGGCAGGGAGGAGGAGGGAGGGAAAGAGGGAGAGACAGAGGGAAAAGGAAGAAGGGAGAAAGAGAGAAAGAGACAGAGACAGAGGCACACACACAGAGAGAGAGAGAGAGAGAGAGAGAGAGAGAGAGAGAGAGAGAGAGAGAGAGAGAGAGAGAGAGAGAGAGAGACCGACAGGCAGAGAGAGAGCGAGCAGAACCATCATTACAGTCGGGTCACACACCCTGGTTCTCTTTCCGCATGATCTCCATGTTCTAACCCCCCCCCTCCCTTCCCTTCCCCCACCAGGCGTGGAGCGTCGCGTCCGAGTGGTCATGAAGCAGTCCCGGGGCTCCAGTGACGCAGAGGGTGACGCAGAGACCGTGACGGTGTGCCAGCGTGACGTTTACGAAATGCAGAACGTGTGGGAGACCTTTGACGTCACTTCGGCCGTCCGCTACTGGCTGGCGAACCCCGACGAGCCGCAGGTCCTCCAGGTGAGCTTGCGGCTGGCGACGGGCCGGGAATCGCCAATCGGCCTGCTGGCTCCTGGGGCCTCGGGTTTCCGCTGGCTCCCCGGGCTCTGTTTTGGTTTTGTCTGTTTTTTTGTTTTGGATTTTTTTATTTGTTTTTGTTTTGCTTTCCTGTTGTTGTTGTTTTTTGTTTAGTGGTTTTGTTTTGATATTGTTTTTTTGTTTTTGTTTTTGTTTTTTTTCTTTTGCTTTGTTTTTTTTATATGGCAACTAGTTTTCAAAGCAATCAGGAAAG